GAACCGGCAACCTTCCGAACTGCCAACTCTTTGAGCCACGATCGCCCCTGATTTTAATTGACTTTAATGCTGATTCTTCTAATGGAGAACATTTTACCACAGGTTCAACATGACATTTTTAGAGATTCAGTTCAGTTAAATTCAATCAATACCTGTCTGCCCCTGTGTGAAAAAGTGATTGCCCTCCTGAACCTAAACCTAATAACTAGTTAATTAACATGGTATCTAGCATGGACTCAAAACACTGTGGCCAATCCTACGAAGGTTTACCAGTATTCCAAGTTTTCTTCATTTGTGGATATTGGTTCGCTGCAGTCCCAAAGGCTTAGAAATGGCTTAGTATCCCTTTACAGATTGATAGATATCAATAAGTTTGTTGTCTAAAGCTGTTTCTTTAGATCGTGGCATGATGTGTTGCTAGTTTTGTTTTCCTTCTTCACCAATACTGTCAGACTGGCAGGACATTTCAGGCGGTATAATCACAATTAGACTAAAAATCCCAGTGAGTTACAGTTGTTGTGTTTAACAAGAAAATATAGCTAACTGTGTTTTTCTCTCTTTATGCTTTTGAATAGAACTGAGCAGGCCATCATTATCACTTCAGTAATGAGATTCAGAGATGAATAGCTTGTTGTCTAATACCAGTTCAGTCTTTTAGTGTTTAAGCTCTTACATGGCTTGCCATGCAGCCTTAGAAACAAAAGCTGAGGAACAAAGCAGCATAATTGCATTGCTTTGAACCGTCCTTACAGTAAAGCACAGATTATAAAAAAAAAACTTAGGGTTAGGAGGAAAATAGATTTTAGGGATGTTCAAGGAGTGTGTTAAATGATAAAACAATATCAGAGATTGAAGAGCCATCTGAAACCATTAGTTACATTCTTAAATAACCAATAACCAGAGGTGGCTGTAGCTCAGGAGGTAGAGCAGGTCATCTTCCAATTGGAACGTTAATGGGTCAATCTCTGCCCGTTCCAGTATGCATGCCACAGTGTCCTTAAGAGAAAAAACCTCAAGTTGCTCTCCACGAGCAACTTGAGGTCGCCTTCGTTGTTGCCTTCGTTGTTACCTTCTTTGTTACCTTCTTTGTTGGTAACAAACTGTCCATACCAGTAAATCCAAAAGGCAGAAACCATAAGGAGCTAGGTCGATGCAGCGCTAGCACAGTTTGATCCCCAATCAAGCGAGACAATTATCACATATTTTTCACCATGTAAGTTTCCTTATTTAGTTATTACATGGATACTGCACCAGCTAATGATAAGTTTCTCTGCAGATCACATTGATGCTCCAGTCCTGTTTTCTTTTTCATCTTGTTGTACCTTAAAGTGGGCCTCAGTGGTTTTGCTAATCTCATTAGCCTGCTGCTACAAGTCAGCAAAGACTCCCTGAGGCCTATTCATTATTACTGTATTTAAAGCAGTGTCGCTCTAAGACCAAAAAAGATGCAACAGCTAGATTAAACAAGACATAGGAAGTACACGTACATAGACTTGTGGCTAAGTAAACACGAGAGAGCTCTTTTCTTTTGTGTGTAAAAACTGTCTTAGTAAGAAGTGGGAAATGCAGTTTTAATATGTGTTGGTTATTGCAGAGTACAGAGGAACCTTTGAACTGCCAGGCAGCCTCTGGTTTGAGTGGGAGAGGAAGGAAAAAGGTATGACAAGAAGTTGGAAGTGAGTGATGGCATTAAAAAAAAAAGCATCTAGTTGATCAGGTCGCAAGTACAAATGGTTCCCATAATTCTGCCCAGCCCTTATAGCAGCAGGATTTCATGTGCTAAATCTACTGCATCACAGCGAACTAGTAGAAAGCTGGCAAATCAATAAATCTCTTAGCTCCGTGCTGTGGTTTATGGTGGTCTGTATTGCTCCCACATCTCCAATACTGATGTATTCTCAGCCACCCCACAGCTAGTCCCAATAGCGGGGGATGACAGATCTGGAGAAACGTGCCAAAGGCCAAGCAAACTGTTCTCGGCATCCTCAGTGGGAGTCGCTGATACCTTATCAAATCCCAGGTAACAGAGCGACTTCCTATGATGAGCAGATATACATCTCCACCATACATTTAAAAGCTCCATCAAGGACGAGATAGCTGCACCTACAGTGACAAATTAAACATTGCTTGGAGTTGGAGAGTAGCACCTAATCATACTCCAAGTAGGGAATGAAAAAAGGTTAACCTCCCTGTCTGCCCACTGTAATGTATCAACTCTATCTCAGAAGAAATCTCATAACTGCAGAGCCACATTAATACTGCCCTTCCCCCTGTGGGGCTTGACTTGAGGAGGTTCATACGTGTTTTTGAATTGTGAATTATGCAGTACATGCATCAAATATTAATGAGTCCAAGTTTTTCTTAGCTGGTATATTCTACTTTTAAATCTGCATCTACAGTTTAGAGTCTTTCAGCTCGTTGTTTTGGCTTTACAGCAACTTTATTGTTTTTGTTTATTCTTGGCAGCCTTACAGCTTCCTCTGCATGCCGCTCAGCACCACAAAGCAACTATATTCTGTGTTTGCTGGATGCCTAAATTTGAAGTTGATTATATACGTTTGCCTCTTCACGATATAACATAGACATAGCTTACCCTAAATCCTTTTGTTTTTGTAAATCTGCTCAGGAAGGTAGTTGTTTAGTTTAGTGTGACATTCAACTGCACTAAAATAAGGAAACCCAGGTTCCTTTTAGAAAAAGATTTGAACACAAATCCTTTGCTCTGGTGAAATCTAAAGGTCTCTTGTGAATTTTAGCAGTAATCTTTTAAGCATACTTTAATTTTTCATTAGCCTCATCTCCTCATTGTGTTTAGTAGATGTCTGCTCAGGGTTGCACATGACAAATTCAATAATCTTCTATTGGTGCTGTGGGTCAGGCATGGTGTAACAGACGATGGCTTTAACGGCTCCTCTGTTTAGTGTCTTTGTCTTGTGTGACCTCTTAACAGAAACGCGCTTCATTATAATGATAATTTTCTAATGTTTGTTGTTTTCTCTGCTCACAATCACATTAAAGATGTTTTCCCCAAAAAATGTATTAAAGTAATAGTAAATATAATGTGCTTCACAATACTTTAATTCGGTATTGCACATATATGTGTAAGCAGCATCCGTGCTTGCATCAGTTTGGTGACATGACGGTTACAAAATTAAACAAAATAGATGGAAGCCAAAAAAACAGCCAGTTCTGTGTGTTTGTTTGATTTTAAACTGGTGATTAATGTAATTTCTAGATTAGATTAGATTTCCAGATCCAGATTTCTAGATTTTAGATTCATTTTCATGTTGATGTAAAGTCAAACCGAAGTCAGAGATGCTAACTCATCGTGGGTTTGAGGTGTTGAATGTTGCCTGGACGTCCTTGCTAGATTTTCTAACAAGAGAAAGTTAGTGTTCAAAAACTTTTTTTATTGATTAGAATAAAACAAAGCAAACAAACCAAAACAAAAATATCTCAAGGGCAAAACATGTGATCTCACGTTTGCAACTTTGTTTTCTAGTGAGCTAGTTGAATTCACACTGGAGACTTCTGCATCTCTGTTTATGTTGCTGAC